AGAGAGAGAGAGAGAGAGAGAGAGAGAGAGAGAGAGAGAGAGAGAGAAACATGGAGGTGGATGTTCGCGTGTCTCTGCCAGTCAAAGATAGTTGGTATATCTAGGTTGGGTATTGGGTTACACTTCTGATTGTATGGACATCTTGTTATTAAGCATTACCAAACTTATAAAGCCTTTAATTAATATTTTTTTTAAAAGTTACTAATTAAAAAAAAGAGAGAGAGAGAAACGTGTCTCCTTAGTCTCTGGCATTTGAATAACTGGTTCCAGGTTGATGGTGCTGTTTGGAGAAGCTTAGGAGGTGTTGCCTTGCTAGAGGAAGTATGTCCTTGGTGATGGGCTCTAAGAGAGCCATTTCCAGTCAGTTTGCTCTTTCTACACTGTGCTTGCATTTCAAGATGTGAACTCTAAGCTGCTCCAGCTGCTCCAGCCACTACACCCACTGCCTCCTGCTTCTGCTTTGCCATCATGGACTCTAGCCCTCCTGAACCAACCAAAATTACCCCTTCCTTCCATAAGTTACCTGAGTCACAGTGTTTAATCATAGCCACAAAAAGCTAACTAATGAAAAGCATTGAAGTCCAAACATTTGGTCTGTTTCAGTTCTTGCAGTGTAACGGGACATGAACAAACAGTTATGTGTCATCACATCCATAGCTAGTCTGATGGGGCAAGCAAAAGGTAAATTCAAGTTGAAGTGCATCAGGATTCAAACTGAGTGGAGAAGGTACTCACGTTATGACTTGTCTGTGGGGAGAAAGCCTCACCTACAGCCATGAACTTGATACACAGAAGCAAAAGCTACACTCTAGAAGAAACCTGAGCAACTTAGAGATTGCAGGAGGCTTTGATCACATGAGCACCATAAAGGAGTGTTATGGAATACAGGATCTCTTCATAGGTACTTTAGTCCCTGAAGCACTAGAGACCCCCGTCACTCCTTCCTTTACCATTTAGGGAGCCAAAGTGCACTGAATCCTTTAGTAGCCCAAGGCCATTTAATGGGAAGCTGGGTCTCTAAACTCTTGGTCCTTTATGGGAGTGTCTCAGGGCCCTGGGACACATTCCAAGAATTCTCTCTGAAGATGAATACAAGTCAGGATTCATCTTTAGATCTTCAATAGACAAAGATAGTTTCATAATTTTCTATTGACAGTTCTTTGAGATGCTGAGTAGCTGACATCATTTTTCTCTCTCTACTCTTCCTTAATCTCTTTCTATAAACTGGGAGCCTTCACTGCTGAATATAGGTCTGGGATGCAGGGTATGTGAGGTCAGGAAACAATAAGTGTCAGTACCTGGTTCATTTCCTCTGCC